CAGGCCAGCAAACAGAGGCAGTGAGGGGTGATTAGGCCAGCAGGGGGTGGGTGGAGGCAGTTAGGAGTGACCAGGCAGGCAGGTGAGCAATTAGGAGCCAGCAGTCCAGGATTGCGAGAGGAATGTCCAGCTGCAGTCAAACATGACCAGCAGTCCGACATCTCCCGAGGGGTCCCAGATTGGAGAGAGTGCAGTCTGGGCTGAGGGGAATCCCCCATACACGAATTTGTGCACTGGACTTCTAGTCTTTATAATAAAAGCCCAGCGACTGTTATGGCAGAATGACCAGAATCATCGATTGCTATGATGTGCCAGCTGCAGGGGCCATCACCAGTGCCGCTGCTGAGCCTGAGGGCCTCAGGGCCAGTTGCACAGCCACTGCCAGGGCACCGGCCATCCTTCCTAGAAAGCTGGGGTCCATGTTCACCTCCAGCTCAGTGGGTCTTCTCCAGGGCCCTCCCCCTGTCCGGCTTGGCCCAATAGGCCCCGATCCAGATGGGCTGGCAGGACCCCATCCGTGCATGAATTCATACACCAGGCCTCTAGTGTGTGTGTGTGTGTGTGTGTGTGTGTGTGTGTGTGTGTGTGTAGAGGGGTGGGAGATATGCAAATTAGGCCAGGACTCTATAATGAGTCACAAGCAGACAGGAGGGGGTTGCGCACACAGGTAAGGCCCAGAAAGGAGATGGAGACGGAGACACGGTCCGGCGAGCTGCTGAGCCCAACTTGGGCCAGCTTTCTGGAACCTGAGTGGACACAGACAGGGATAGGGGTGTCCGGCCTACAGCCTCTGTGGCCAAGTGCAAGCCTCGAGAGGAGACGGTGGGCCTGCCTCCCGCAGAAGCAGTGTGGGTCCCTCCCTGCTCCTGCAGAAGCCATAGAAGCAGTGTGGCTCCCGGCGGCATGCTGTAATTCCTGCTGGCTCCTGCGGAAGTGGCAGGTAGTCTGCTACGTGCAATATTGTGCAATGGGCTACTAGTGTGTGTGTGTGTGTGTGTGTGTGTGTGTGTCTGTCTAATATGCAAAGTGCCTCCTTGGTAGTTTGGCTGTGAGTTCAATCACTCACTATGACATGCACTCATCACCAGGGGCCAGTGTGGAACAAAGGAATGCCCCAGCCAGCAGCTGGTAGCCTGGGCAGGCACTGGGACCCTACTGTACTTGAATTTTGTGCACTGAGCCTCTAGTGTTTTCTGTAAGCCTGAAAATTTCCTCTTCCAGCCCTATCTCTGTATCTTCCTATTCTTCATGACCTACTTGTCTGCACAAAGCCTTCCTTGATCTCCCCACCTTCAAAACTAGAAGTATTATCTATCTCCTTTCTCTCAACTTCTGAGGGAAATACGTATCAACCACAATTCTGAATCTTGCTAACCTATCCAATAAAAGCCAGTGCTAGACATTTGCAAATCAACAAAGACTGAATGAGTTTGCCACTCATAGGTCTTCTGAATGGAAAGATATATTCCTAATTGCATATCCAGGGGCATATGTTGTCAGCTTGTGACTGGCTAAGGTGAAAGTATTTAGAATTAGCAAATGCTACAAAACAAGACTATTTATTTCCTTTAAAGAGCCAGTTCATCTGAATGTGAATTGGTGGCCCTGCTACATGTATATGTGTTTGTGTGTATGTCACCATGTACAGACAAATACTTGATACACTATGATTGTTGGACAGGCAGCACTGCACTGTCGGTCAGCAGTCCTTCCTCCTGGGGCTGCTGGGAAAAGCCATGTGGCTGGAGTGGCTAGGAAGCTTGCCTTTCCATACTATCGTCCCATCCTCCCCTCCTCTCAGGGCTTGGAATTGTGTTACCTATGACCCCACCGCCTTCTTGCTTCCGTGTCCTTGGCAGACATGGTCACTTCCTGGAATCGCAGCTAATATACTAATTGAGGATGTGTGCGTCTGCAGTTGCTCAAAGTTCACTCTTTGAAGTAGCGAATCTTGGCCTGGCTACACAGACATCAGTAAATGGCCTCCTGTTTCTGTTCATAATTGGCCCTTACAAATTGGTGAAATGCAGGCAGTGAGACGCCTGTGTCAGGAACAGAACTCTGCCAACTGCTGTCTGTGAACATACCTGCTGCAGACTTTCCTCCAGCCCTCAGAGCCAGTGAGCAGTGGTTCTGGGTTCTGTGGGGGAGTTGCCCTCCCTTGGGCATGGAAGCCAAGGTCAGATGACTGGGAGGAGGGAAAAAGGAAGCCAAGTGTGGGTCAGGACTAGGGAAGCCAGTAAACAGTAAATGGCAGTGGAGATGTGAGTGGGTGGGAGGAAGGAGAGGAGTAGGGATGGGAGGGGCGGGGTCTGAGAGAGGCTCATGAGCCTTGTGGTTCCTCTGCTGGGCTCTGCCTCAGGTGGCAGCTTCCTGCTGAGCTGGGTCAGGCAGAGGTTAAAATCCTGGCTGTGGAGAAAGTGGGCCTTTCCTGTCTTTGGGTAGGAAAACTGTGTCTTCTTCTAGACCGGGTGCTCTCTTTCAAACTCCATGCCGTCACGCAGTGGCCATTGCCCGTCTCCCTCTGAGGTGACGCGGGTAACAGTGCCCAGCACACTGCTGGGACAGAACGGGGCTGGGAGTGGGGTCCCACAGTCCTGAGGTATTTAAAATGTTGAGTGTCTTCATGCACGTATTGGTTTCTGACAAAGTCTACAGCACTGCACTGGTTAGATGTGAATTATAATTATTTTTTCAACAGTCATTGCCTTTCTCCCAGTCTTGGCCTTCCAAAGAGACTCCCTCTTTACTTTATTCCTTTAAAGCTTTCATTGATTTCTTATATCATGTGCTTATTTTCTGCCCCTGGATGACCCCTCTGTAGCATTTTTCTGGAGAAACCATTAACAGGTGGTCTTGTTAGGCCAGGGTTTCTGGGGGGGGTGAGGGTAGTGAACTCGAGAAAGATCACTGAGAGAAAGGGTATCCCAGATTACCAATCAAATCTTCCTTGCTACCCCAGATTGGCTTCGCTTTTTAATCATTAACTTTTTAGTTTAATAAACTCTGGCAGTGGTGCTGCTTTCAAGGGAGCGTGTCTGTTTTTACAATAAAATCTGCTTTCAGAGTGGAGCTGGGTGGGGCTAGCGTCCCAGTGACGCAGGAGGCCTGGTGATGGGCTCTGTGGTGGAATTCCTCTTGGGCTGTCCGTGACACTGGGTGCTGGTATTGGCTCAGGCACCTGGCAGGACATTGCTTTGCTTAGAGAAACGGGGCGTTCAGAGTGATGTGCTCAACTCGAGTGTGACACTTTTACCCGGAGCCAGCAGGAACTTCTCACTGGTCGAGCGGCTTGGGGCCTCGAGGCCCCGAGCTGGCTTGAGTCGCACCAGGCCTGCTGGAAGGACCCGCTGTGTGGAGGCGCCTTGCCAAGCAGAGCAAGAGAGTGAAGCTTTGCCCTCCTGAGGACCCATCACAGGGGCCAGGAGCCTTGGATGACTGTCACCAGGGAGCTCAGAGCTTTCTGCTGGCAGTGTGTGGTGAGGCCAAAGTCCCCCCAGTGTCTTTTCTGCACAGGTGATGCTGGTGGAGGGAGGGGACTCACCCTTACAGAATGAAAAGAATGTCAGCAGCTGGTGGTGATGCTTTGGAGAAAATTCATGCCACCAGGAGTTAAGCATGGGGAGAGGGGAAGAAAGGTACAATTTTTAGTTCTCAAAGTACAAAGTGTAGGTTTTCCTGTTTGTGTTTTAACGGATAAAGCCTCCTCTCATCCTTGGGTCATTGCTGACGGTGTCCCATCGGACTGACAGGGGCCACCGTAGTGTGTGGAGTGCGGATAAGCTCCCAAATAGTGAGAGAATCTTCAGCCTCTTGGAGAATCCGTGGCGGGGAGGCCAAGATCTTCAATGCCATTGTTTAACGACAAGGCAATTTTAGAAGCCCAGGTACCGTGATTAGAAATGCACGCACAGGCTTTGCGCTTGCAGCCAAGGGCAGTCAGACAGCATTGGCCAGTGAACCACTTAGCTCGTGCCTGAGCCGTGGGGACTTGTGGTCATGCCGGGGCGTTCCTTCTTTCTTTTTCTTTTTTTAAGTATATTTTTATTGATTTCAGAGAGGAAGGGAGAGGGAGAGACAGAAACATCAATGATGAGAGTATCACTGATTGGCTGCCTCCTGCACGCCCCCTACTGGGGATCGAGCCCGCAGCCCAAGCATGTGCCCTTAGCTGGAATTGAACCCGGGACCTTCCAGTCTCCAGTCCAATGCTCTACCACTGAGCCAAACCTGCTAGGGCCCAGGGCGTTTCTTTGAGGAGATACAGTTGACATGAGTAATCTATTCCTAGTAAGCACGGGCAAGAGTAAGCTGTTTATTCCTCATACTGAAGCATGAAGATAAGAAAAGTAAGATCTCCAGGGGTCCTCAAACTTTTTAAAGTGGGGGCCAGATCACGGTCCCTCAGAGAGCTGGAGGGCCGGACTATATGAACTACTAATTCCTACTGTAACACCTCGGCTGCGCTCACTGCCCAAAAAACCTGGCGGGCCGGATCAGACTCCTCTGCGGGCCGCATGTGGCCCGCGGGCTGTAGTTTGAAGACACCTGATTGGAACACCTCTTAAGCCTTAGAAATGCTTTAGCTTCCACACTTGAAATGTTTAGTCTTTTGGATTTTCAGAATAACAGTCTTGCATGGTGCCCACACATGGTAGGTGCCCTGTAAGTAGTTATTGAATTCAGGTGTTTCCTCCCATAAACCATTACATGCTTGTTGTAAAAATCCATGCATTTAAAGTAAAAATAACCCGAAATTCCACCATTTAGCATTTGGGAATATAACCTCCCAGACATTATTAGTGCATATAAAGGTATGTATCCTCTTCCAAAACCAGGATTGTGTGGACATGGTGTCTTGAAAGCTGTCTCCAGATGAATGAGATGAATCTGTTTAGCATCTGCACAGAGGCATATGTACTGTCCTGTGTAAGGAAGAATTTGTTGTTTCTTGTCGTTTCAGACGTGAGACATCTCATGTGCTGTCCTTTGTTTAGCAGGTGTCTTCTGCGGAGGTACGCATTGGGCCCATGAGACTGACGCAGGATCCGATCCAGGTACGCCTCCATCACGCAGTAGGCGCTTTGTTCCCAGAGCACATGGCTACATGAGCAGCGTCTGAGCGGCCTTTCTGGTACCATGGTAGATAGCCATCCTTGCCCCTACATACATGCCTGTACATAATACACAGTGTGTACATATGGGTCTTGCTTGCTTTTATTAAAGTCATACTAGAGAAATCAAAAAAATTTTTTTTTGCAGACTTAAACATTGCCCTATTTTGAGTCTAAATATGGTTGCATGATGGACTATGAAGGAGAACAACTCTTCCACCACAAAATTAGTCTGCCCCAATCCTGCTGCAGCCGGGAAGGGAAGGGGTGTACATGCTGAAGGGCGGGGCTCTGCCTGAGCCACAGCTGGGTGTGAATCCTGGCTCTGCCTTTAGCCAGCTGCGGCACCTTGCATATATTGCTCCATTTCTCTGCCCAGGGCCCTGTGTGGGAAGTGGAGATAATGCCTCTCCCATAGTGAATTAGGAGTTAAATGGAATAGCAACCTAGAAGACTGACTGGCCATGAAAGGCACTCAATAAAAGATAACTGTTGTTGGCTGGGAAGAGAAAAATGACAAAAGGCTCCCCTTTCTTGTCCCATGTGGCTAGAGCCAGGCGGCCTTTTGGGCTCTAACACCCAGGGAACAGCAGGGGTGCCCTCCCTCCAGGCCCTCCAGCTCCCCACGGCCTCTTCAGGGATCTTTTAGAGAATTGCTACCCCGTCTGCGTACACATCGTCCTGGTAGGTCTAAATAAGTGAACCTCCTCCTCGCTGGCCTCCTTCCTGTGGCTTGTTAGCACCAGGAAGCTTGTCCTGCACTTGGGACAAGTGAAGATGCAGTGGAGATATAAACACATCAAGTGGCATGTAAATGGAAGTGAAAACCAACCAAGGAAACGTATTGTTTGATTTATGAGCAAATGGAAAAGAAAATAAGATTTTACCGTTGCTTGGAAAAGGAAATGCAAATCTTGGGAAAGGGGGAAAAAAACACAAAAGGAAGAGATTTAAGCTTGGGAAATTTTGATGAAAACAAAATTAGGAGGGGGGGGAGGGGAGAGAGAGAGTGAGAGAGATATTTACTAAAATAAACACAAGCCACAATTGTCTGTATAGAATACAAGTGGAAAATTCCAGTAATCATTCTGTGTGCACGCACTTTATAGTCCATTTTGAATAGAGGCAATGACAAGGGATCTAATAACAGTATTTATTCCCAAAACAACTTTCAGAATATTTCTTGGGGTTGTTATAGTTTTCTAGATCTGTTTGTTTAATTTACTTACATTTTTGCCCTGTGCTTATTGGCAATGAATGCTCATGATAAGGAAGTCTCTCTTTTTTTAAAGATGTAATTTGTCAAATTGTAAAGTATTTCAAATATTCATAAAGTTTATATGTATATACCCATACGCACTTCTTTCAAATACTGACAGTATACTCTGTTTGCCTGAAAAAAACTCAGAAACAAGAGACTACAGACACTGTTTAAGCCCTTATTTATTCTTTTGCCTCCCTAAGAGTAACTTCTAATTGGAGGTTGATTATGATAGGCATTTGTATATGTATTCTACACATGTATGCATAATATTTTGTCTTAAATATTTTTTTGCTTTATTTGAAAGCTAACAGGCTGTATGCATCATTCTGGAATTTTTATTTAACATTGTTTTGCTGTCATATATAAGAATAGATGGTCTAATCTAAGGTCCCTGATTTATTCCTTTGTTTTTCTAAGAGTTTTATAGATTTAGCTCTGTGGTCCATGTGGAGTTAGTTTTTGTATGTGGTGTGAGGTAGGGCTTTATTCTTTTGCATGTGGGTATCTAGTTGTCCCAGTCGCTTCTATGGGTTAATATTCTTTTCCTGTTGCATTGTCTTGGCACCTTTGTCAAAATTCAACTGACCATAATTATGAGTGGTCATTTCTGGACACTGTCTTTGAGATATGAGTCCCACAACTTTCTCCTTACCTTTCGAGATTGTTTTGGCTTTGTCCTTTGCATCTTCATATGAATTTAAGGACCAGTTTGTTAATTTTGGGGTGGAGGGGACCAGTTGGAATTTTTATAATGGTTGCTATAAATCTGTACATCAATTTTGAGTTATTACAATGTTAACGTTTTGTCTTTTAATCATTAATATAAATGTCTTTCTTAATTTCATTTTGATAGAGTGGTTTGTTCATTGCTACGGTATAGAAGTACATTTTATTTTTGTATATTGATGTTGTATTCTGCAACCTTGCTGAACTCTTATTAGCTCTTACAGTTTTTTGTAGATTTCTTAGGATTTTCTATATACAAAATCTATCATTATTCTTTTCTAGTCTAAATGCTTCTTTTATCTTATTTTAGTTGCCTAATTATCTTGCTTAAACCTCCGAAATAAAATAATGGTGTGCTTACTTTTATAAGATAAGGTACTTCCAGATCTTTTCTCAAAGTGGCTATATCATTTTATACTCCTACAAGCAATAAGGGAGTTCTGGTTACTCCAAATCCTTAGTTGTATTTGATGTTTCAGTCTCTTGATTTTAGCTGATCTAGTGGGTGAGTAATAATTTCTTATGGTTAAATTTTCATTTTTTTCATCGCTTTTTTGTTTGGATATTAGCCATTTCTTTATCTTCTTTTGTGAATGTTTGGTTAGATCTTCTGCCTATTTTTATTGGGTTGACTTTTTCAAAGTAATTGAGTTGTGGGAGTTCTTTACATATTCTTATTACAAGTCCTTTATCAGATTTTGAGAACATTTTCTTCCAACCTGTGGCTTTTCTATTCATGTTCATAAGTCTGGCTTTAGAGCAAAATTCTTAATTTTGTCTAATCATAGTCTAATTCAGCACTTCTTTTATGGTCATTACTTTTTGTGTTCTTGGAATCTTGACCTATTCCCAGGTTGAGAAGATAATTTTTCTTCTAGAAATGTTTTAACTTTTAATTTTAGATCTATATTCTATGTCAAGTTCATTTTTGTGTATGGTGTGATATGGAGGTCAAGGCTCATTTCTTTTCTCATATTGATGTCAAATTGTTCCAGCTCTACTTGTTGAAAAGACTATACATCCCTTACTCCATTAAATTGCTTTGATGCCTTTGTTACTGATACTGTTAATATTCTCACCTGAGGATATGTTTTTTATTGATTGTTGTAGCACTCTCATTCTAGGGGTAATGATATCTAGTGTTGCTTTTTTTGTGTGTGCTCCTACCACTGACATTGCAACCGTCTTAAAAAAAAAAAAGAACTATACTATGTTTTGGTGCCTTCGTTTTTGTTTTTGTCTTTGCTTTCTTGGAGGAAAATATCCGGTTACTTCACTGGCACGTCAAAAATGTTAATTAGCTACATCAACCAGAGCCCTTGGGGCTTGGGAGGAACTTGTTTGATAAGAACATTTTGGGACGTGAGTCTGAGTTCACCAGGGGAAACTTGCTCCCACATGAGGAGCTGGCGGGGCGGCGCTGTTGGGAGGGGGACTGTGGAAGTGTGTCAGGGAGAAGCTCAGTGGGGGCTGGAGAGTCTGTCTCTCCTGGTGCGTGGCTGTGACTCACAGCACAAGTCATATTTTCCAGTCTTGGAAAGGAGATAAAAAAAAAAAAATTAGGGGAAATATTATGAGGCACTAGATTCACATCAACATGATAACATCTGAAAATCAAGTGGCCTTTTTTTCATCAGCGCCTGAGGCACTGTTACTCCCCCAGGATGTAGAATCGATGTGTTTCTGCTTAGAGTGCTCACCTCCTCCCCTCACACTGGCCTTTCCAACTGCCCGTGGAAACGGAGCCTCGCAGCTGTGACCTAAGGTTTTTCCTAGCAAGGCAACACTTCCCTTTAAGTCTCATTCTCCCATCTGCATGGACATGGGCTTTTCGCAACTGTTATATAGTGGAGATTTTATATGTCAGAGATCATGTGGCCTCATGAGGGTCTGTTCCTCACGTATTGAGTGAAACGACCAAGTGATGGAGACATTCGGCTCGATGACTTGCTGGGGTCATTGTTTCCCCTCCTGTCTGTCCTCGGTGCTGCTGCCCTGTGTCCTCTGCCTAAACCAGCCAGGCTGGTGGAGCCACAGAGTTGGTAGGAATTGGGTCCTATGTTTTAGGGGTAAAAATAAAACTGTCAGAGAGGAGGTTACTGAACATAATGGTTACCCAGCTCTGGGGTCAGGCCGACCTCTGTTCACATCTTGCTAGCTGTGTGGCTGTGGGCGAATCTCTTAGCCATTTCAAGCCTGTTTCCATATCTGTAAAACGGAGGTAATGCCTGCTTCCAAAGAATGTGTGACAGCGTTATTGCATAAGACATTTAAAGCACTTTAAGTGTAATGGCTGGCCCCTCGAAAATCCTCAGGCTTTACCTGTTATTGGCATCACTTTCCTAGGGACACTGAAGGAAAGCTTCCAAGACATTGTTAGCCCTCCACTGAACTGAGCCCCCTATCTGATCAAATTGATCAGTTCTTTAGTATTATGTGGATACAACGCACATGTGGTTGATCTATGCATGTGGTCTATTCTAGAAACTACCTGTTACCCAGTTTTGCTTAAAGCCCAACCAAATATTCTGAAAATTGGGTGTTTAATAGTTGATATTTGTGATCCATTTGGAGATGTGTAGACACACCTTTATTTAAAGGACACTGGTCATAGTGAGCATTTATATTGTCATCTTTAGGTTAAGGGAAAGTTAGTTTTGTCTCCACCTTTTTCCTAATTAGGCTTCACCAGCGGGAAGTTTCATTCTAACTTAGCTATCAAAGATAGATTACTGCCTATTCTTAAAACAATATTTTTCAGCACCTTGGGATGGTACAAGGATTTCTAGCAAAACCAAAGAACAGCAGGGGGCGCCGTGAAAAGCTTGCTGAGGAGGAGCTGAGGCACATGGGACCAGGCTTGCTTTGGGAAGTCACCGTCCTCATCTGTTGAATCGGGGTTCATGGAGCACCCCAGGAGTCCCTTCCTGTCGGAGAACTCCTGAGAGTCCTG